TCCTTCCAAGGTGCTAAAAAGATTTGGGGGGAGGCTTTAATGTTGCTTTTTCCTTCCCCTTGCCGCAAGCGGCAACACAAGATGTGCTGGAGAAGGAGGGTCCTGGCTCATCGGTTCAGCCCTGGAGCTTGAGGGTAGCAAAGGGAGGATGCTGGGAAGCTGGGGGGGGAAGCAAGCAGAGGGAGGTGGTGAGGTGAAGGGGAAAATGTCAGGGAAATACCCAAACTGCTACCCCTGGGCTGTCCCTCTTGGGGTAGAGAGTTTGGGAAACGTGTCTGGGGGAAGATGGGAGCGTGAAAACCAGAGACCGGCTTCTGTCCTGCATTGCAGGAGGGGCAGGAGATGGTCCAGGCAATGGACTCTAATGAGCAATAAGAACAAGGTCAAAGACCAAAAATACATGTTAAAAAAATGCCTGTCACCCAGCGGTGACTTTTTTAGCCAGTACTACCCTTGGCCAGCCTGGAGCTGCCACCGCTGCCCAGCCTCCCCAGGACCACCAGCCTGATCCGTGTACCCAGTGTCCCTGGGGCAACAAAATGGGGATAGCTGGGAAGCCGGGAGCGGATTTTAGGGGCAGTTACAAGGAAAGGAGAGAAGAAGCTTCATCTGCATCCTTTTTTGTCGTTTGAGAGGGGCTGAAAGGGAGGTGATTTAACGCCATTAAAAAAAAAATATTGTGCCAAGTACTAAACGTATGCACAGCACTTTAGGAGCCTAGGGCTGCATGCAGCTTGCTTGCTGTCGGGCCAGCTCCAGGCACAGGGTCTGCCTGGAGGAGCTACAGTCCTCAAAACCTCCCCAAAGCGGGGTCATGCGGCCTGCTGTGTCCCCAAGGGGTGTCCCCAAGGGGGCTGCCGTGGTTTCGGTGCTTAGGGGTGTGCAGCCTCTCAGCGGAGGGCATCTGGCACCTCCAGGTGCGGTGGCAGGGGGAAGGTGGGCTCCCATGCGGGGTGAGCACTGGTAGGAGGTTTTGGGGCCGGAGGGGTGGAATCCGAGGGAGGCAAGGCTGGGTGGATACACCAGTTTGGCATTGCGAAGCGGGATTGCTCAGGAACGTCTGCGTGGCATGGGTGCATCCGCTGGCCCTGCTGGCGCTGCTTCCCCGGCCGTTCGAGGAGCAGGGCAGAGCATCTCTAGGGCCAGTGTTTGAAACTCTTCAGCTGGCCGGGGGCTTGCTGGCAAGGCAGCCAGGGGTGCTTGGCCCCGCACCGGGAGCCCACAGGTTTTAGGGCACGCTGCTGTTCAAGCCTGATGCTTTCGGCACCGTTGGTGCAGGGGCAGAGCACTGCGTTGATAGCATTTGAGTGGCTGCAAGAAACTTGAGGTCGGGGCATCTCAGAGGAGCTCATGGCTGTGTGCAAGCTTCCCCGCAGCTTTTGCTAGCCTGGCATGGCTTGCGGCGGGGGAGAGGTTGAGGTACACGCTTTAATTGCAATGAATGGAGACCTCTGTGCATTTCTGACGTTTTAAGCATTGGACTCCCTCTGCAACGCTCCCCTGGAGTTACCCAACGGTACAAAAAGAGCTGAAGAGATGTTAAGAGGGCAGCTTGTGCACCCTCCTCCCTGCCCTGGATCGCCTGTAAGTCAAGGCCGGACGAGCATCACTACTCTTAAAAGCACCTGAGGCTGGAGGTCCCCTGCCTGCCGGGTGCTGTCCTTCGGCATTAAGTTGGCTTCACAAAAGATGGGAGAAAGCCATGCATCTGTCTGAGCCAAGCCGTCGACACGCCTCGTGGGAGCGGACAGACGGAGGGACGCCT